GAATATAAAGCTTCAAAGTTTCTCTCTTGGAGTCTTGTCTTTGTGTATTTGGTTTCTACTTGCATTCCATCTACCTGCAGCTGGCCTCTGTGCTTTGGCCCCAGAGAGGGACTGATTACAGACAAGCTCTCCCTAAGTCCCTCTAGTCTGACAAAAAAAAAAAAAAGTTAAACTACAGAGTCCTTTCTGCAAATACTCAACTTTATCACTACAAACCTGTTTAAATATTGTCTTTACCGTCTTTCTATTAAAGGAACTGGTAACTACAGAGTGGGACCTGTATCATGACTACACCACTAGTCAGGTGGGTCTGCACGATATGCTGAGAAAGTTCAGGGCAGAGATGGACACCTACAGCCGAGAGCCTGGCAGATACAGGTAGGGGTATAATCGGACCACCCTGTTAGAGAGAATGATCCAATTAAACTTTTTTTTGAAAACTCTAATCATGCATTCAGTTCCAGTAAAAAGGTGTTCTGTCAGATCAGCACATATATGTTTGCCTGCACATGCGTAACAGATAACTATTAACAAATTGAATTTCAGCAGCAGTGTCCTGACCAGCAAAACACATTTATATTAACTTCAAAAAAAGATCAGCTTTAATTATATTGTTATTTCTTGGGTGCAGAAACAGACATGATTGAAGTTTCCAGGATGTTAAGAGAAGAAGCCTCCATAAGCAAAACCATATTAGTCAATATTCATTTAAAATAAGTTACTTTAGTAGTAAAAAAATGTGTGCGTGGGAATTTTAATTAGGTTAGATTTAGTTTTCATGTTTAAAATCATAGAAAACATTGGCTGTGCTTCATATTGTGACCCAGAGTTAATATAGGTTAGTTAAAAACTTAAGCGTATGCCGATCTGACAGTGTATGCTGTTCTGACAGAACAATGGATTGTTTATTCTGGTGATTTAGATCAAAAAAAGGAAACTTGTGTTTATTCATTAAAAAGGGTAGTGTAGCCTAGTGGTTAGAGCATTGTGCTTGGAATCCAGAGGTTCTGAGTTTAAGCCCCACTCCTACAGACTAACACTGGGTCCCTGAGCAAGACTCTTGACTCCACACTGCTCACCGGGCACCCCACGATGGCAGCCATAATGCTCCCCAAGTATGATAATTATGTTAGACAAATTACACAAAGGTCTTTATGGTAAATGGAATTCCCCTATGGAAAAGTATATCAAATTACTGTAAAGTACACATAATAAATACTTAACCTGAGTGCAGCATAGAATGGAGAAACTCTCAGCAGATCCACAGAGATCGACACTCCCATCCTAACCCAGGACAACCATCAACCTGTCTGGTGTCTGTAATCTTCTTCACCTATGCAGTGTTGTCCGGAGGGAAGTTGGAGCCATCATAGCCAACAATGTAGTCAAGCTGGAGGCTGGTATTAAAGCGACCTCAGCTGAACCACAGAATAATGGCCTGTATGCTGCTCTGTATTCATGCAGTAATTTGGGTCAGGCCTGAGCGCCGGTTGGTCCAGCAGCAGAGTTGTAGCTTCCTTTGGCAGAGTGACTAGGAGGCAAAGCCTGCTGGAAATATGAAACAAAGACGACCATAGAGCTGAGCATAGGAGGGATGTGCAGAAAAAAAAAGACAGGGTTCTTTACCTCTCTACTCTTTCTCCTGACACCAGAACCTTGATGTCCAAATTAAATGTGCACGTTTAACTTCATCTGAAAACAGGACCTCGGACTTTTTCACACGAGTTGGGACAGTTGTAGCCCACATATTTGAACCACAAACTCCAAATGCACTCCTATGCTAGCCTTGTAAATCTCTTTCTGTGCCATTTTTTCCTTCAACACTTCCTCCATTATGCTTTGACACAGCAAACAGCCAGCTTCTTTTAGCACCTTAATGTTCTGGATAGAACGAGAATGGTTTCATGACCAAACCTTTATTTAGATTGCAAACATTTCTAACCATAGAGACAATAAAGCCAGCATCAATAACCAATGTTGTAAGTTTAGTCTATTTGTAATTGATAATATAACAATGCTTCATCATGATCATTTTTATTGTTTAGCTGAAATTCATTGTTGATCTGTGACCCCGAATTTGGGGATCAATGTTTGTATCAAAGATATTTTCTTTAGTAATAAACTGTAATAATCTTTTTATCTAACAATTAGAATGTTGTTTGTTTAGTTGCAAGACACAAACATCACAATAAACTAAACAAATACCTCAAATATGTTACTCTTTGTGTAATGAATCTATACAGGATTATCACTATTGAAATCAATAAAGTTTTTGATATCCTTATGTTATGAAAACTAATACAACTGAATCATATCTCCTACAATCTGGAACTTTAGAATGAACACTAGATTAAAAAAGAGATTTTAAGATGTTTTCTAACTGCTTTATATCTACATTTAAAACCATTAATAATGCTGAACTGATACTTTTTTTTTTTAAAAGCCCAAGTGTTGCGAATTAGCTGTTGCTATTGCACCATGATGCAAACATGGGACTGCTGTTTCATTCAGTTTGTCTATGTAAATGTGTGTCTGTCCCTATCAAATAAACTTTAATAATAATACTGATGACGTGATTTCCACATTTAAATCGGGATGAAAAAGGAAGGCTCCTCACACATCTCCCACACAACCTGTTGTTCTGCAGGTTCTTGGTGACAGAATCCTATGATTATCAGGAAGTAGAGAAGACTATGATGTACTATGGAACCCCACTCGTTAAAGAAAGTGACTTCCCCTTCAACTTCTACCTGCTGGACCTGCCTCAAAACGCCAGCGGCTGGTGGGCTAAACAATTGGTCGACTTCTGGATGTCCAACATGCCCAAAGGAAAATGGCCCAATTGGGTGGTAAATAGTTTTTTTCCTTTTACATGAAAAAAGCACTCATGTTTCATCGTTATAGGTATGTTGCAATAGTGTTATTATACAAGATAGTTATGAAATGACCAAGATTCTCCAGTGATAAGTAGGAAGAACTACAGGGTTTATGGCACTGAGCTGATATCTTTTTCAGCCTTTATAATCATAAACTGTAACGCCCTTTTTATACTGCAGTCAGTTTAGATAAGGTTTATCTTTTTAATCTATGTTTTTATATTTTCACCACTCTTAAGATTAAAAAGGGTAAGAGTAGGCAGCGCTAAAAGTTTTCTACAGCTTTGTTAACTTTAAAAAAAAAAAAAAAAGATGCATAGAAAGAAATCAGCTAATGATTTTTATATTTTGATCAGCTCTGATCAGACCCACAGAACAGATACTAAAAAAAAAACTTTTAATACTTTACAAAGTTCCAAGTAGAGCTTCTAAATGCAAACAGAAATGGGAGACAACAAAAAACAAGAGGGTTATTTATTGCAAACAGCCACTAAAATAAAATAGGATATTTATCAGCTGATCAAAGATTTAAGATCATTGCTAATTAAAAATAAAAACAATAAAAAAAAATTAAAAAACAGCCTATGCCATTTTTTAATCACCTCAAAAATTAGTTTTCTTATGCTTGATGCCAGTGTTTCCAGGAGGGAAGGTTGCTCCATGTGGTAAAGGTTGAGAGCTGAAACTGGCGTCTAATTTTTAAAAAACTTCTTAGTTGTATTTTGATAAAATATTTTATATATTTTCTCACTCTAACATCTGGTTTTTGTTTGTTGCAGTTAAAACCTTTAGATAAAACAGAAGGAAGTGTCTGAACTGAGGACAACATAGTTCCTCTGTTTCTCAATGGAATCTACATAGACTGTTTAATAATACTAATAATGGTTGTGCTAATAATGCTAACTGATGCTTTTAGACACTTAAAACTATTAAATTAGTATAATCTAATGATGTTGCATTTGTTTCTTTAACATTAAATAAAGCTCAGTTTTAAAGCTGGTTTAGGCTTAAAGTAGAAAGGCGGCAAAAAAGACTGAATATAGTTTTTATATCTCATAGCTACTTAGGATCTGCTTTATCTTTCCTCCTCTCCTGTGGTAATCAGGTGGGGAACCATGACAGGCCCAGAATCGGTTCCAGCGCTGGTCAGATTTATGTCCGCGCTATCAACATGATGCTACTGACTCTTCCCGGCACGCCAACAACTTACTACGGCGAAGAGATCGGCATGGAGAACATTAACATCACGCAAAGTCAAGTACAGGACCCTGCTGGGAAATACAACGTGGTCAGTAGAGTCTATAGACTGAAGAAACACTGAAAACAAATCGGTACAAAAATAGAAGTTTAATTGGAGAACATTAGGTTTATGGAAATAGGGTTTCACTGTTGGTTATTTTTCAGATATAAATGCATAATTTTACTGTGTGAAGGTCGGGTGGAGGGTAACTGTTCCTGTTCTAATCCCAGAGTCTCAGTCGGGACCCTGAGCGGTCTCCAATGCAGTGGAGCAGTGAGATGAACGCAGGATTCAATACCAAATCTAACCTCACCTGGTTGCCTGTTCATCCTGACTATCAAAGTGTGAATGTGGAGGTACAGAAAACAGAGGAAAGCTGCGATGAAAGCTGCTCTGATGATGTCTGACTGGTTTTCTTTCCTCCCACAGCTCCAGATGAATGATGAAGGCTCCGTCCTCTCTCAGTACAGCTTCCTGAACGGCCTTCGTCAGTCGGAGCTCCCATTTCTGCGTGGATGGTTCTGTTATGTCCTCGCTGATAACAACGTCTTCTCTTACCTCCGAGAGCTAGATGGGCACAAAGAAGCTTACCTGATAGTGATTAACTTTGGCAAAGGCTCCACCACCACAGATCTCTCTGCTATACAGGAGCTACCTGAGCAGCTGCAGGTGCTGATGAGCACAAACCGAGCCAACGACAACAAAGTCTTCCAAAAATCTCAAATTGTGACCGAGCCGGGAGAGGGTTTGGTCATTCGCTACTCCACCTACACTCGCTTTCATCCTAACCATCCTGCAGAATGCTACGTCTCTGAGAAGGCCTGCTATTTAGAGACCGTCGGCATCCTTTATAAATGCTGAAGAAAACCGTTTATTCTCACAAATCATTCTCCACAGATGGATTTTAATGCAGAGGGAATGATGCAATGCAATAAAGCAAACTATTTTCGATGAGTGAGCTGGAGGTCTTTCTCTTTTTTAACATGGAGAGTAAAACACTTTGAGTACTTCAAATACAGATCTTCATTCCTTGCTACTGTAGCTCTTCCTCCTGCGTCGAGGCAGCAGAGTGTCCAGGCCCAGCTCTGCGTATAGAAACGCAAGCTTAAAGGCCTCCTGGATCAGATAGAAAAAACATTACAGCATCAGCCTAAAGTCTGAAAAAAGATCATCCAGAAAAATGCACAAAACTTTACTAATGGAGAATCTATTAGCTGTTCTTAGCTGCAGATAAATGTCCTTATCTGGGTAAATGAATATGATGCTCTATGAAGTCCAGCCTATTAGTTCTAATTAAACCCTCTGATATAGAACAAGCTTTATAACACTTACATAAAGCTTTTTAATGTCAATACATTAACTGCAATTATGACCAGTTGATTAGTTTAATATAAAAGCACTAATTCCTTTCAAAGTTTCCTTAAATGGTGCAGTTCAGACCAGATGCTCATCTACACTCATTTGGGTTGTTTCTGTGCTAGAAAACAATTTCCAGCTTCCATAATCTTTTTTTAGAACTGGGGAAATCAGTTTAAATTGGATTTGCATTTTCTTTAGATTTCAACATGTTTAAGTTACAAGTACAATCTCGTCCCTGCAGATATTTTAGTTAGAAATCCCCCAATTGCCTGGCAGAGATCAGGTTGTAGATTTTAATCCCTCTTTGTTCAGCAGCATTGGTAGAGCCTACTTAAAATAGTAAAAAAAAAAAAAAAAATTTCCCAGTATAAACAAAGCTTTTAGCATAGGTGACAGACCTTAAAGCTGAAGTCTGTAAGTTTTTAAAAATCACTTTTTTGTCATATTGGCTAAAACTGTCCCTATGCCCAGACAGCAGTACATGTGATATGTAACCTGTGAAAAAAACTGCTTCAATTGGTACCGCCTACTGCCTGTATTTCAATCTGGAAAGAATAATTCGGGACGAGTCAAAACAACCAATCACAGCCAGAGAAGCTTCTGATGGAGTGTCAATCACAGCTCACACACGCTGAATCCCGCCCACCTTCTGGACGCATGCGGTAGCCGCGCAGATGCTGTGAGAGGGGTGGAGCTTGGAGGTGGGGCATGAGTGAAGCAGAGAGGGTGGGGGAGTGGCGTGAAACCTGTTTTTCTTCAAATTTTCAGTCGAAGTCTGCTCTCTCCTCAATGTTACAGACTGCAGCTTTAAGAGCAGTGTGATACCATACGTTGTATCTCTTGTATTATTATTGGCTGGTTGGATCATCCAATTCTCTATAAGACTGAACATCACCTTCAATTAAAGCAAATGTGTTAAATAGTTCAAAGCAACCAAGCCTGAAGCCATAAAGAATCTTCAGTTTCACTGTCAACACTGAGAAAATTTTCCTATTGAGAATTCAGTTTGTTTGCATATCCTGTCATCTCAATGTTCTTTGCAGACTCAATTTAATAAAATCAAATTATGATGACAGATTAGTTAAAAGTTTTATATCTAAGGAAAACTTTAACCAGCTCACTGCACGTAAGTTTTTACTGCAGAAAAAAATTACTCCTGGATGAGCATGTAGAGAGAGAGGACAGCTTCTGGTATAACTCTGCAGCATCTCTCACAGTGAGCATGCATGCTGCATCAGTGGAGAGGAAAAACTCCCTTTTAATAAGAAGAACCTCCAGCAGGACCAGGCTCAGTGTGAGATGCCTTCTGTAGGACACAGAAGCACAGATCCTAGAATACTGACCCTGTTAGAGACAATCATGGTAGACTAGCTCTATATGTGGCTCTGAAATAACCTTCAGCTTCAAAACTGGTTCCTTCAAGTACGACTGAAACTAGCAGCAACTCCATGGACATAAGCTTTCTAGAGAAAGGTTTATGGTCAGACATGACAAAGGCTGATCTACGGGGTTACAATGATGAGAAAAAAAGTTTTTAAACCTTAACACCACTGTTTATAGGTCCATTACTGTGGATCAGTCATTAGACTGATCCAGAAACACACATCAGGACAGCTTTTGGAATAGATAATCCTAGCTTACACTAGTTATTTTAAAGGGCCTCAACAGAATTTAAAATATAATCGATTTGTTTTTGAAGTTAGCAGTGCAAAAACCATTTTAAAATAATTAAACATTTCTTAGAACAACTTTATTTACCCTCAATTTGAGTAGGTATATATTATGATATGCTACTGGAATGATTATTTTTACCCTTATTATCCTAACTCGATATTATACACTTGAAATAAGACAAATCAATGTTTCTTTTCTTATTTTAAATATAAATTGTTTAATTCCAGTGGCAAAAATATTCACATACCTGCTTAATTCAAGAAAAATGTCACTAATTTAACAAAAAATGACTTGGATTTAATTTTTTTTCCTACATCAATTTCTGAAAAGAAAGGGGCTCGGATATCCAGCCTGAATTATTCCAGCACTTTGTGGAACTGCGGTTTCACTGCAACTTGCTAATGGAGATTTGACATCATTAGTGTGGGTGTAAGCATACGTTGGTGATTTAAATAGAACCCTAAAACTTTTAAAGAAACTATTTTACACATTCAAACTGTTGACACCTGTTTTAAATCCACTCAAGTTGTTTAATCTCTCCAACCTCTCCTCCCTTATTCCATATTGAAGCAGAAAATGACAGCATTCAAACGTCTGCCTGGTGCTATCCTGAAACTCCCCACTACCCTCTAAATAATGAAGCTCACCTCATGCAGCGTCTGCACTAAATCATCTGGTCCGAGGTGATTTACTCCAGGTTGCACATTCACAACTATGTTCGGCGCTTGTTCAAAGTCTAAAGGAGAGAAACAAACCAACATGCGATAAATAAATGTAAAACATTGATCTTCCTGTGAACCAAGGATATCTCTACTTCTGTCTACTCCATATTAACCATCTTTCTCTTTTTTTGTGGTACGGACTGATTCACAAGTGCGGTCCTGACCTTGACAGCTCCCAGTCTGTGGAGTCTAATCTCTTGCTCTGATATACTATCTCTTTACCATGCTAATGGGCCTTTCCACCCGCCCTGGATGTGTCTATGCCATCAGCACTTTATCAAAGACTCAGGAGAACAGAGAGAGGCAGATTAGGGAGACATCTCCCCGCATACGCAGGCACTGAAGCTGGCTGGTGTGTGTGTGAGAACAACAGGGGCGGGATGGTGGAGGGGAGAGATAATATGTGGATTTGAAGCTGGAAGAGAGAGAAGGAGGGGTGTATATAAGGAGTACCACTGGTGGTGAAGGGAGATTATAATTGAGATGGAGAAAGAGCCTGTCTGGGGAAAATGAGAGCAATTAGCTGACACAAACACAGGCTTTACCACAAGGTGACCAATGCTATACCGGGGAAAAGACGTCCCCCAGACACCCATACATCTATTACCGCTGCCACTGCTGACCCTCACATTGACACTACTATTGGGGGGGATGACCCACAGCTATAAAACCTCTGCTGAAGCAGAAATAACTCCTAAAAGAGTTTTGGAAATCTCAGAGGAATTTAAAATGCACCCAGAAAAGCTAAAAAAAAAGCATTAAGATTGTTTTCACATATACATGAGAGATTCTCTAGAGAAAGTCTGATTGGAAATTACAAATCAAAGGCGTATCTAACGGCAACCAGAAAGCCCTCGGATAGAAGTATTACAGCGTGGTTTCTAAACACAGAGCAGCCTTTAAAACAAGGATCTTCACTTTTTGCTGAGAAAGACAAACAGAGGTACATTACTGCATCAAGGTAACATGTGGACGTCTAGAAACAGAATGCATCACTTTTACTGGGAAATGATTCAAACAGTACGAAAGTACCTGATTTCAACGTCGTGCCGATGTGGGAACGAATGGCTTTCTTTATTAGTTTGGTGTATCTGAGGACACCTTCCAGAGGAACCCTGGGATCACCACTGTAGGCCGTCAGCAACATAGATGGATAGAGCTGTCTCATACAGAAACATTCAAATTTATGCATGCTAAAAACTGGAACTGAAGTAAATCAAGGGTTTCTAATCTTTTAGAGGAATTTATATTTATGTGCAAATATATACTGATTATTTTATTGTATTGTAGTGATATGTAACAACATAAATCCCAGAAGTTGGCTAAACAGAGTGGGAGTACAGTGAGGTTTCTGCTGCACGCTGAGCATACCTGAGGGGTAATGTTGTGGAGGGGACAGTATGAGGCGATGATGTGCCTGTGGCTCAGGTTTCCCACTGGGTCCCCCCATTCATCTCTGTCCTCCAAAGGCAGACTGGGTTTCTCCATAGTTCCCAACACATCGAGAAAAGGAGCCTAAGCAGACATTTAGAGATCAGAAGGACTCGTCTATATTCAGGAGTTCAGAAGTGAATTTATATTTAGGCAGGATGGTAAAGATCCACCTCGCTGTTGGACTAGTTCAGCTAATTTAGATCATACCTATTTCACAATCTGTAACATATATAATTCAAGTAAAATTGGAAATGGATAATTCAATATCAAATACAAATTTGATAAAGTATATAAAAAAATTATCTGATTTTATTTCTAAACATCCCAAAGATGAAGATTTTCATATTAATGTGAATACATGTAAAACTTGTTATTAAGAGATAATAGAGGAAGGAAAAATTTACTAACTTTTCTAGTCACTAACTTAACTTTTCTTACATTCCCATGGAAATATTTCAATTATTTTACAATTGGAAAATGAATGGTCCAAGTCTGCTTACATCCAAAGCAGCTCCAAATACGATATGATTTAAAGGTGCATATTTGTGTAATAGGCAAAATAGATCAAGGCTATTTGATCATGATTAAATAAGATAATTTACGCCCACTGTTCTGCAATGGTTCTCGGTAAAGAGGCAGCTCAGAGCTCCCAAGCAGAGCATGAAGGGAAAAGTCATTATTGTTCCTAAGAAATGCAAACAGGGATGAACCATTATGGTAAGAAATACTTGGATTAAGTAAATCAAAGTGTTCATAGGCTGCAACTTTTTCAAAAAAAAAAAAAGGCTAATTCCTGGTAAGTGCCCAAACATTAGTATCTTATTCAGAGTTTTATCCTTCCTGGAATCATATATGTGATTTTTTTGCTTTTTCAAACTTCTTACTTTTACGCCTTTGCTGTAAGTTGCTGACTAGCTTAGGCCCATTACCCCCTTCTTTACCCATCAAGCAGGTGGTCACAGGTTGTTGTTAATGTAAATTTATTAAGTATAATTTTTTACCATTAAAATTAGCAAAAAAAAAAAAAAAAGGCTTGTAACCCAAAAATAACAAAGTACATGCCAATGGATATAAGTGTTAAGACAAACTGAATCTCCAACCTTAGTGAACCTCTGGTGTATATCTCAAAACTCTTAACGAAACCAAGCCGCTTTTGTTTTAAGCCTTAATGTTGATTTGTTTATCCAGCCTACACTAATCAACACAAGTGTCACCCACACAGACCCTACAAACATTTAACACCTTTGTCACTACCCTATACGTACAGGCGAACAACTTGCACAATTAACTCTTTTGCCCAACCAGATATACATTCCGGTCACTCTTGATTGTAATTTGTAAAAAAACACCTAAAATTCCCTTTTCCCTCCTTAAAAATAGTAAGCATACTAAACTATAAAGCGTTAAAGGTTAATAATGTATTTCCTGAAAAAAATGAATGCATTAAAATCCTTTCTGTTTTATCAGTTGCCTGTGCCCGATCTGTACTGGACATTATATCCCACGCTACTTCCTAGAGCTAAACTTTTCAGCTTTGGATTTAAACATAATTCTAGTCTTTTGATAATAATTAAACTTTACTGTTATAACATTGGAGAAATCTACCTCTGTATTTAACCCTTTCCCTTGGGGAGCAGTGGGCTGCCATTGTGCGGCACCCGGGAGCAGTGTGGGGTTAATGGTTTTGCTCAGGGAGCCATAGTGGCAGACTGTGGGAGTGAGAATGGGAACCTCAGGATTCCATGCTCTAACCACTAGGGCGCCATCCCCCACTCTTTTTGAGTTTAATCTTTTCCTTTCTTAAAATCTTAAGAAAGAAAGAACTGAAAAATAAAAGGATAAACAACACGTGGACTACTCTGAGCATCTCCGATGATGACGTCAAAAAAGCAGTTTAAAGGAGAAAAGGTAAAGCATAAAATTTTCTCAGAAAAGTAATTAAAAATGTTTAAAATATTTTTTATTAGCCTTTTTTTGTGATATACTACTTTAGTACCATAATTACATTATTTATGGTGACCTGGATGAATATGTGTTTTCACGTGTGCAAATGAGCTGATGGTACACATCGTGCTTCCGGGAGGGATCAGGAAGTGACAGCCTTACCTGCAGCGCTACAGCCCGCATCATGTTTGGCTTCCTGTTGCACAGCGCCCCTACTGGTACAGCTCCAGCGCTGCACGCTGTAAGGGCAGCAATTGAATGAAAGGAAACTCCCCGAGAGAAAAGCTCATGGAGACAGGCCTGGATGTCCTCCACTCCCTTCTCCTTTCCTTCTACTTTGCCTTCCCTGTGCCAAGAAAGACCACGCTCCCCTCCACCCCTATACACAGAGAAAATAAGCAGCAATCTCATGTTAGCATAAGGTTTGTTTTCCCTCGCAGTCCGAGCCTCATCGACTCTTTTAGGTTGTCTAGCATTGTTTGGTCAGAAACAGTATAATAAGAGGTAATGCTGCTTATAAAGGGTGTATGATGATATATATTCCTAATTTGTTGAGTACTTAAGGTGAATAAGGGTTATTTTAAGTTATCTCTAAAGAATATTCCTGTTTTGGAAGTAAATTAGATGAACAGCAGGGATCCAGTGTTAGTTTCTGACTGTTTCACAGCAGCTACCTTATACTGAACCAACATAGACCCCCCACTGTTAAGCACAGAAGGAAAGAGGAACCATGCCAGGTTTCAACAAAGAACAAGAGGACAGAAGAAGCTTTAAGTCCAGAGCTGACAGGATAAATAACCCTTCAAATTTAAGCTTCTGGTACATTTTACTACAATTTAGTTAGCATGCTGAAAGAAATCTAGAAAATCTGAATGTTTTTGTTCAGTTTAAATCAAAGGAGGGAGGATGCCTTACCTGATGTGACAGTAGGCCAGTGCCCATCCCTGTTCTAACAAAAAAAGTTTGACTGGACAGAACTCCATATTGAGATCTCTACCATAAGAGCCATAGACATGGACGAGCAAAGGCACCGAGCTCAGATCCTCTACAGGTACGGCATGGAGCAGCGACACTGGAACCAAGGTGCCATCCTGAGGAAAAACACAGAAGAGCAGATCTTTATTCTGCTTGAAGCGCTTTTCTGATCAACATAAATATTAGCAGTTCTAATATTAAAACCTCTCTGCTTTTAATAGCTCATGTTCACCTGTTTTAAAGGTGGTCTTACCTGGCTGCAGGCCTCTAGACGTGTAGTAAAATACTTTTCTTGGCTCTTGGAAAAGGCCTGCTTTCCTGTGGCTGACAGTAGGAGTCCTTTCCTCAGATCCAAAGAAAACGGCACTGGTGGGTGGACTGGAGATGATAACAGGAACTCAAACACATCTTGCTGATCTGCTAAGCCTGGTTTCTTGGTGTCAATAGCACAAGCCCAGGATGGGAGCTTAGGGATAAATGCAGGGATATAAAAATCACTGATTTAAGAAGAAAACAGGAATCAATACGATTTGATGCCATCTTTCACACTGACCTGTATGCTGTAGGTTTCCTTGGGATTGCTCAGTGACATCACAGTTAAAGCTAGGGTACAGGCTGGTGTGTTGACAACCAACAAACAGTAGTCTCCAACTACGTCCATGTCTTTGATAGCAGTGCCAAGGCCAGGGGAAAACAAAGACACCCAGGAGGCCATGGATGGTTCAGAAATGGGAGACTGCATCACCTAATAGGCAGAGAGAACAGCCCCTTCTTTTTAATGCATTATTTTCAAGCATGAATCTAGAATAAAAACAGATACACACATCTGAATGTTTTTTTTAATCAATCCTATCTAAAATCTAATCTAGTTGCTTTATCACTGTAAACAAAAACTGTTAACGGAACTCAATGGGAGCTTTAGATGAAAATCGGAAATTGAGTGACCAATCATTAAGAAGTGGAAGGAACTGATGCATTATTTTCAAAACCTTTTACAACAAACAGGAAAAATATGGTGAATTTTTGTATTCAAACCAATTTACTTGGAAACCCATGAATAAAATCCAGAAGTGATCTTCAGCTGTGGGACTAATGAACACCTGTGTATGACTTGATCTCAGTGTAATTCCAGCTGTTCTCTGAAGGTTTAATAAAGATCCTTAGTGAACAGAAAGCATCCAGAGGAAAACAGCAGACATGTCAGGGATAAAACATGTGAAGAAGATTAAAGCATAATCGGGAAACAAGACAAACTCTCAAGTTTTCAAGATGCAACAGAGAGCAGTCCAATTCATAACAGAAAGAATATGCAACAAACAAAGAGCATTAGTCTGAGAAGAGTCAAGCGGCTGATTGTAAATCTGGTGAAGCTATAGATATTCCCTGCTCAGAATCTGTTGATAGAATAGAGAACTCCCTTTATTGTCCCACAATGGGGAAATTCTGGTGTTTACAGCAGCAAAAAGATTATGGAAAAATATGTTAACACAATATGGACCTTAGAAAAACATAGAAGAATAACATAATAGTGATGAGTTAAAAGATAAACAATACATACTGAAGTGTAAAGTGTTTTAATAATGTAAAAACTGTGCACCTTAAATAAATAACCAATATATAGCTATGGACATTTTTACAGTAATGGATATTTAAAAATAGCAGCAACATGAGAGATGTGCAAAATGACAGCAACATGTTCTTTAACTGACTACGGTAGAAACTTTGCAAAATCAGCATGAATGTAACAAGTTATTGAGGTTGTTGGGAACAGTGGTGGTTATAAAGTCTTCCAGCTGCTGGGAGGAGGGATCAGAGATAACGCTCCCTGGTGCATTTAAGGTGCAGCTGCCTGTCACTGAAGGAGCTCTCCAGGAAGCACTCTAGGAAACACTGTTAGCAGGAACTCTACAAATGTTCCATTCTAAATGGCTACACAGTGAGACATTTTGATTTTCTTATAGTTTGAATAATTTTAAGGTCATTTAACAACCTAAATGTGCTTAGTTAGGTTTTAGTGTCTGTGTGTTTAATGACTCCTATAAAACCCAATGCTAGGGTTGGCTTTCAATTCACAGTAGAGCAAACAGCTTTGTTTAGACATTGGAACACCTTAAATCGGTTGATTGGTGAGCAAATGACGCATAAAGGAAGCCTTGGTCCGTGATTTAAAGATGTCCTGGGTTTAAATACCGACCCAGAGACTTGTGCTGAATGTCTTCTTCATTTTCTCCAAACTTTTGCCTCAGTCTACAGTAACATAAAGGCCACTTGTGCATCTGACTGTCACATTAAAATCTAGGCTACTACAGGTGCTGGTCATAAAATTAGAATATCATGAAAAAGTAGATTGATTTCAGTAATTCCATTTAAAAAGTGAAACTTGTATATTATATTCATACATTACATACAAACTCATATATTTCAGATGTTTATTTTGTTTAATTTTGATGATTACAAATGACAACAAATGAAAATCTCAAATTCATCATATCAGAAAATTAGAATATTGTGAAAAGGTTCAAAATTGATGGCCCCTGGTGCCACACTCTAATCAGCTAATTAACTCAAACCACCTGCAAAAGCCTTTAAATGGTCTTTCAGTCTAGTTCTATAGGCTACACAATCATGGGGAAGACTGCTGACTTGACAGTTGTCCAAAAGACGACCATCGACACCTTGCACAAGGAGGGCAAGACACAAAAGGTCATCGCTAAAGAGGCTGGCTGTTCACAGAGCTCAGTGTCCAAGCACATTAATAGAGAGGCGAAGGGAAGGAAAAGATGTGGTCGAAAAAAGTGTACAAGCAAGAGAGATAACCGCACCCTGGAGAGGATTGTGAAACAAAACCCATTCAAAAATGTGGGGGAGATTCACAAAGAGTGGACTGCAGCTGGAGTGAGTGCTTCAAGAACCACCACACACAGACGTATGAAAGACATGGGTTTCTGCTGTCGCATTCCTTGTGTCAAGCCACTCTTGAACCACAGACAGCGTCAGAAGCGTCTTGCCTGGGCTAAAGAGAAACAGGACTGGACTGCTGGTGAGTGGTCCAAAGTCATGTTCTCTGATGAAAGTAAATTTTGCATTTCCTTTGGAAATCAAGGTCCCAGAGTCTGGAGGAAAAGAAGAGAGGCACTTCATCCACGTTGCTTGAAGTCCAGTGTAAAGTTTCCACAGTCAGTGATGGTTTGGGGTGCCATGTCATCTGCTGGTGTTGGTCCATTGTGTTTTCTGAGGTCCAGGGTCAACGCAGCCACATACCAGGAAGTTTTAGAGCACTTCATGCTTCCTGCAGCTGACCAACTTTTTGGAGATGCAGATTTCATTTTCCAACAGGACTTGGCACCTGCACACAGTGCCAAAGCTACCAGTACCTGGTTGAAGGACCATGGTATACCTGTTCTTAATTGGCCAGCAAACTCTCCTGACCTTAACCCCATAGAAAATCTATGGGGTATTGTGAAGAAGAAGATGCAATACACCAGACCCAACAATTCAGAAGAGCTAAAAGCCACTATTAGAGCAACTTGGGCTATCATAACACCTGAGCAGTGCCACAGACTGATCGACTCCATGCCACGCCGCATTGCTGCAGTAATACAGGCCAAAGGAGGCCCAACTAAATACTGAGTGCTGTACATGCTCATACTTTTCATGTTCATACTTTTCAGTTGGCCAACATTTCTATAAATCCTTTGTTTTTATTGGTCTTCAGTAATATTCTAATTTTCTGATATGATGAATTTGAGATTTTCATTTGTTGTCATTTGTAATCATCAAAATTAAACAAAATAAACATCTGAAATATATGAGTTTGTATGTAATGTATGAATATAATATACAAGTTTCACTTTTTAAATGGAATTACTGAAATCAATCTACTTTTTCATGATATTCTAATTTTATGACCAGCACCTGTAAGCTTAAAATTTGCACTGGACTCTTCTACGCTAATTATAGATTATTCAGTCTATAATATTGTAATGTCTGTAAAAATCTGCAAACATTTCAAAATGACCTGTAGTGATGCTTTGGCGCTTAAACCAGAACTAAAGGCCTCATTTTGACTGAGAGTCAAAAAAAAAAAAAAAAGAGAAGTGAAATGGTTTTTATTTACTGTCACCTGGTTATAAATCAATCTACACAGCTGACCCCTAACCTGAGATTAACCTAACCTTTAAAAAAAAAAATCTAATCCAATATATTTCAAGAATTTTTAAGAGAAATCTTGTATTGATTGAACGCTAAACAAACCTGGAAAAATAAAAATGAGTTGTTTTATGGGACACAGAACACATGCGATAGACGAGAAAAACAATGTCCGACGTCCGTATTTAGACGAGAAGATTAAAAGACCGGATGAAAACAAAGCGTTAGAGATTATAAAACATCTTTTCTTTGTGGTATACATGAAAAAAAAAAAAACCCATAAACTAATCAGTCCCCCAGTTAAATATGGAGGTGGGAGAATCGAGATGTGGGCTCCAGTTTTCTCCAGCAGGGACAGGCAGGGATATCACCGCTGTGTGACTGATGAAGCACAGATTGGTGGAAGAAAGCCACTTAGAGGCGGCTGTGGACTTAAACTGATGAGGACAACAATCCTAAACACACAGCAAGAGCTATTATGGAACAGCACAGCTGCTTTTAGATTTTACCTCATAAAAAGATGTGGAAACATGCTTCACTTTTCTTGATTATGTACTACTTGTTTATTTTTCTGTTCATGGCATCAAAAAAAAGTGTAAAGGTTAAAGGGTAACCAAGGGGCTACATGTAAATACAGTCATTAGTATCACTGAAAATATTCATTTAGACAACCTGCTGTTGGAACCCTACCTGATATTCTTTTGCTGGTCCTGTGTTTGCCAATATAATGAGCCATCCTTTCCAGTGCTCCACATGGTACAGGAGATCCAGCTGACGTGGTTGAATCACCAAAGGCTCTAAATGGGACTTTGTCGCATCAACCAGCATCACCTCTGAACTTGTTCTACTGTTGCAGTTGATGGTGAGGATCTGCCTGTCTCGGCTCAGGGCGACCTCCACAAACACACTTAGGGGGAAAGGGGATGACTTTTATGAGATAGAAGAGATAGAAGAGACTGTTTACCAGGTGCTTCGTCAACACTTACTCAGGCTGAGTTTCCTCGTACACAGACGATATTTGGCCCCTGCAATCAGAGCTGAGGTCCAGGCGAGACACGCAGCTGGAGCGCAGGCCTTCCAAAGTGGTGTAAAACAGGACGTCATCCGTCGCCCACTCTTCTCCGACGAACACAAACACACCAGTCAAGTTTAAAACGCAGCCTCTATTGATTTTGAATATAATCGTCTTTATAATGTGGGATTTCATTTAAAGTATAAATCCACAATACATTTAAACACCAGATTTTACAAGCAATCCATTTATTCTACTAAATTCATGTTCATTTGGGGTATTTTAGTTTTTCTCTGCTATCTTTGCACCATAATTTCCTAATAAATATTTACCGAAGCTGAAGACATTCTCAAGCTCAAGGAGGATGTGGTGGGAGGGAAAAAGCCTCACAACAACACACCTTAATTATCACAGAACAAAAAAAAAGTAGTTATTTGAGTAAAACATTCAAATTTTCATAAAAGCAACATCTGGTTGAGATACCGTAGCTCTTCTCTGTGACTAGATTTTAATGTGGCAGCCAGATGCTTTTCTTGTGGTGACAGACGAATCCTTTGAATTGTCCACTGAAAGCTCTCACTACTCTCTGCTTTCGTCCTCCTTTTCCCCCTAGATACATGTTCCAGATTCAACACCTGTTCAGGCTCCAGCTTACCTAAAAATATGGAGAATGAAGATGATAAAAATCATATATAATTGGCAACATTGATCTAAACTCTCTATGAAAGGACATGCTCCTGGCTTACTACCTATTTTGTCTGCTCTGTAGATGCCATCATCCTTAACAAAGTATATATGGTGACATCCACATACCTGAGACAGGAAACATTAAAACAAGTTATTTATATATATATATATATATATATATATATATATATATATATATATATAAAACGTAACAATAATATGAAATCTCTGAAAGAAGAGTGCTGTCTTACCACTGAGTAATCAGGTATACTGTGGAACCTGTTATATGTTGCCTTTAATCTCCTTACAAAATATTTCTTTAACTGCTCATATTTGACATTTCCAGAGCTCAGTGGATCAGATGATAACCCAGAAGTTTCCTAAAGTGTAAAAACAAACAAAGAAAAAGTTACCAGGGACAGAGAGGCAATAAATTATCAATGACCTAAAGGCCTAATTAGGTCATCCCGCCACAAAATACATAAAGCCAAACCTAAAAAATAAAATAAAATAAAGTGCCGGAGTTGAGCAGCATCCAATCCCTTTCCTCCACTTTTATTAATTCTGCAATGTAAAACCTTTGAACTTTTCAGTTTTATTTACATTACTTAACAACATAAAACCTCAGTGAATCTAAATGGAACTTTAAGTGACAGATGAACACAAAGTAGGCCATCATTGTTAAAAATCATACAAATACAAATGCCTTTTTAAATCACCCCCTCTAAATTGATCATTTGTTGTACAAACACCTGCAAGTGTTTGCAAGGTTTGTCTCTCTGCACATCTGGAGGTGGGGAGTTTCATCTATTCTTCTTTGCCAAACAGCTCAAGCTCAGTTGAGATGGATGAAAAGCATCTATTAACATATATTCAATAAGTCTTGGCACATACTCTCAGTTGAATTATTGTTTTACACAAGAACAAGCTTTGATGTGTTCGGTTCTATACAGAGATTGAAAGAAGATTTTTTTTTTCATGCTCATCTACTGTGGAACAAATTTGCAGTTTTAGTCCATGGAGACACCCTGCCTCCTTTGAAGACTGGGTTTATTTTTTCAGTTTTGATAAATGTTATAGTTAGATGGCATCTGGTTATCCTGAGTTATGTCTGTAGTTATCCTGCTATAGGCTTATGTTGCTGGAGGACACAATGACTACTTTCTTTTACTCTGCTACATTGTCTAACTAATTTCCACTTTTGCAAAATTAAATTTTTCAACTTTTAACGTTTTTTTCCCCCTCTCCCTAGAAGCAAAATCTGACCTGGTATTCTGTTCAGCTGTGGCACGGTCTTTCAGACGGTTATCTAGTGGGCTACCGCTGCCGTCAACTTCAAATTCTCCATCTATAGTTGATACACTTGGCCCTGTCTTTGAGTAGTTCACTCTCTCTCCTCGAGACACAGCAACTGTCTCAGATATTACTGAAATTGACCGTCACTGGACTCTCTTTCTCACATCTTCTATGTTTGAATACTGGCTCAGAGCTCATCTGTCTAAGGAGCTACTACGTTAACTAACTTTTTCACTTTTCTCTCACATTGAAAGTGCTTCTGTGTTGCTTTTCAGTGTGTGTGTTCTGTCTGCTCAAACTCCAAGTTGGCTTGTGCAGAAGGCCTTTCATGCTGAGCCTGACTTGGAAGTTTTTTTCCTGTTAAAGGAGGGTTTTTCCTCTCCTCTGTCACCACATGCATGCTTGGTATGACAGTTTTCTGCAAACAATACAATGCAAGTGACTTTCATCTGTGGCCACATGCTCAGGGAGTAGAAATATATAAGCATTATTCAGAACATGAATCAGTAATAAACCACTTCAAAAAATATGAAATAGAGCAGGAAGTAACTTTACAACAAGTCAAGGGCATCATTAAAGTTCTCTAAATGTTCTTACCGAAGAACACCAACGTTGGACGGACAAAGCTGCTCCTGTTTTCCTTTTAGACACATTAAGCTTCCAGAAACTAGAAACACCGATGTGGCGGACAGCAGAGCACAGCAGAGAACGTAAAACAATCATTGCAGATATTTAACCATTAATTAGCCATTATAGTATGGTTAATTAGCCAGCTTTTACACGCAGAATGGTGCATTTGATATAAAAAGATTTAACATATTTTGTATAAAAATTTAAAGCATTAATATTTACAACGTTGAGGTAAATTAATATGTTATAAGGTGGAGGCAGAACGCTGTAGGAGTAGCGCTCAAAACTAGCCTGGTGACGCAGACGGATATTCCAGACCAAAGCAATCAATTTAGCTCAGGCGCAACAAGCAGTTTCAATTGAAAATAGAGATCGATGTTTTCTATTGTTGATTATTATGCCTGAAATGGCAAATGTGTACGGAAGCAGCGTGCTCCAGGAGGTATGAGTCGAAACATGTCTCTGAGCTTTTATAGATTTTTGTAATTTCAAAATAAGCCATGCTTTAATAAATACATTGTGAGAGAAGTATTGTTTTTTACTGTAACAGCGATATCACCTGGAGCTTGTTTACAAATATATCCGTGTGGGTATTCAGTGGTTAAGATGGAGATAAGCTCCACAGACGCTGCAGAAAAGAGCCAGCCGGTTTTGCCTTGTAAGGACAACAGCGATGGAGATGCAGCCCTTAACTCCAGAGAAGGAAGCTGCGGTGCTACTGCAGGCCGAGCCAGATGGTCTCTGCTGAGACAGGTACAGAAACAGGCTGGGACTGATTTAAAAAGAGAAAAACATTTTAAACCTCACACACAATGCTTAGTTTCACTGCTTCTTTCAAAAGTACAAGTTTTGACACATTTATGAAAAAAAAACTATCACCTGTTGATAGATTTTATATATTTATATATATATATATATATATATATATATATATATATATATATATATATATATATATATATATATATATAATAGCAGCTGATTAATTCGAATGATCCCTTGTTTTTACTTTGCTGGTTCTCACTATTAAGGATATTTCTTTACAGTTTTTTTAAAATTGTTTTACTTCACTAACAAAATTATACCTTGGATGCAAATTCTTAAGCTTTACTTAAATTAGATTAAGCGTATTTGGCCTAATCTTTTAACATGCAAGACTAGATAATTTAATTGATTAATTTTGAGAGGTGTCCAAAAGTACATTATAATAAAAAAGCATATTGATTGAAATGCTTAAATCCTACAATTTCATTTTTTTCTTATTCATATGTTTTTTAATTTAAATCAAAAGTAACAAACAAACAAAAAAGATAGTGGTTATGAGGACTGTCATCTGAATCCTAAAATATAGGCTAAACTATTAACCTGCCTTATACCAGTGGTGGACTTTAAGCCATTTTTAAGCCTCTCCTCCAACTCAGCCTTAATGTCCAAGTCGGACCTCACAGGGACATATTCTGTTAAGCTGCCACAGTGTGCGTAGCTAAACGGTGAGATCTGGGACTATTCAGCCTAATTTTTTCTTTCTTTCCTCACTTTCCAGCTCGGCTTTTCAAGCTCTGCTTCGTCTTTCTCGTGTTTGTTCTCTTCATTATTCTACTTTGAGCAGCACACTGCTTATCTGGATGTGTTATGCAATGGAAAGGATTGACCTATCATTGTATATACATGGGATCAGATGCAAGATGCAGATACAAGGGATCAGATGTTGATGTTGTTTGATTTGTTGTCATTTTTTTGTGGCTGAATTGCGATTATTTAATTTCAGACATGCATAAATATTCACGTGGGGCTGTTAGAGGTGTCGGTAACCAGCAAAGCCCACACCTTAGCTGGTTCGGGGCAGCAGGAGGCTTCCTACTTTGCACTTTATCACTCTTGGTTTAAAGGATTTGGCACAAACAGGTTGCACAGAAGTGATGCAGAGGAAGAAGTTTTAAATAATTGACAGTAGGTGTTGGAAACGATTCTAAATACATTAACTGAATGATTCATAGTAATAGAAAATTCTTCAGATGTCAAGTTCTATTAATTTCAAAAGCCAGAGAGTAGGGGTGGGCTTTAAAAGCCCCTGAAAGGTTTTAAGATAATGATCACTTCTTACATAGATCTGGTTTTTCCACAGTTTTGCGGCAGAAACAAATAAATCTCAATCATATGCAACTGCTTGTTTAATCTGACTGTCTTTATAGATGTTTGGCCTTTTAGAAAGATGATTTGGATGGGACGAATCCTTTAAATATGATGAAACAGCTGCATTCAAAGGTTTAATGAAATTCAAACGAAAATGTAAAAAATTTAGAAACTTTATTTCTCTTTCAGGTTTTGTGTCAGAAGCAGACAGACAGTCCAGAAGTCAAGCAGGTGTCTGTTCGCAGGTTTGCCACCTTTGACCTTTTCAGAAGGAAAAAACTCTCAGCACAAGAACACTGTGTTACCTCAGACGACCAGTGGGTGGAGTACAGAAGTGTATACTATCCTGAGTACAGTGCCTTCCTCAGGTAGACATTCTACATTATAAAAAAAAAAAAAAAAACTGTAACATTTTAGTTACCGACACTTTCCTGGTATGTTGGTTGCATAATCAGGAAAACGGCCATGGGTAGTAATTGGTTACATCTACTCAGTTACATTTACTTAAGTAACAATTTGAGAAAAAAAAAAACTTTTAGGAGCAGGTTAACTGTGCTGTATGTTTTACTTTTATTTGAGTAATATCTTGTAAATTATCGCTGCTTCTACTTAAGTAAAATCTCTGAATACTCTGTCCTCTATGAGTAATTTGAACTATTCCAAAATCAGGTAAACATACAGTAAACATTAGTTTGTTACCTTATCCTATTATAAATGTATTTCTCATTGAACAGATTGATTTTCCAAGTTTTATTAAAAGTATTTATTATGCACCAATTTATTATTTTATATTCATGACATTTATTTGTATTCTTTAGATATCTAAGTCTTCAATATACCTGAACTTGCGCATAAAGTCTGTCTGCCAGCATCATTTCTAAACATTAAATCTGATTTTAGTATACAACAATTACTCAGTACTGATGTAGCCTTTCCACCCAATAGTTTTGTTTTTACTTCTACTTGAGTGATTTCTTGATTGACTTCTTGGTTGACATTAAGTAAAAATGTTAAAGTAGTGTTTCTTGTACTTGAGTACAATTTTTGGGAACTCTACCTGCCTCTGCAGGAAAAGGATTTTTACTTTGCTGTATCTATAATTTGAATCTGTTGCCGGGTTACAACCTGCATCAATTTATATGACTTTATTAAGGGGAGTTCAATCTATGAGTTTTAGTAGTGACTTAGAAGTGTTTGCTGTGTCACAAAATGTCAGAAAACTAAAGTCAGATCCCTTAAGTGATGAATTATTGATTATAAATGCTGAGTAGGACAGAAAATGTGTAGAAAACACATTTGAATTTAAAACAAAACAAAAAAACTTTTATTGAAAAGAGAGATTAGTCAAAGTAAATTCACTTGAACAGTGATTACATGATTTTAAACACCGATTTAGGCTGCATTGTAGTTCATTTGATATTCAACTTCACTGTATGTAATTGTATTAGAATCTTATTATATGGCTTAATTGGAATAAATTGGTCTGAACTAGAAGCAAAGTAGTTTTATGTTACTGGATATCAAGTTCAGCTGATGTGCTGTTGAGTATCTAGAGATGTTACAGCTGATGATAACTAAACTGGATAGCTTAAAATGTGGAAACGGATTACAATCTGAGCAGGTTTCAGTGATATATATATCTATTTGTCTAGTTAAACACCATTTTCTTATAAAGGTGTACATTGCTGCTAAAAAGTAGTCTCACCTTTACAGATTTCTTTGTTTTTTGTTTTCTTGTCAGACTTAAGTGATATAAGTAATAGAAGCTAATGGGGTCTCAATCAAATATTAATTCCCCCTAAAGCTGATATCTGATGTGTTGCTTTGATGGAAACAACTGCTCATAAAGGTTTAACCTCAAAGGGCAATTTTAGTGTGTCTGTAATCCTCTCCAGTTGTTCTTTGTAGAGTTTTAAAAACTTCTGTGCCATATTAGTGTTTATAGAATAAATTATGTGTTTAAAGTTATACTACAACATTTGAGTTTGATTTAAATCAAGACTTTTAAAAACACTATATTTTCATTTATCATGCTATGCTGCTGAACCAAGCTATTTTTGAGCTAAAGGTTTTAAACTGATGGTTAGATATTCTTACTATTTTAGAAAACTTCTTATGGTTATGGCTATAATTAGACTGTTTTTAAAAAGAGACATTATGCACCCACAGTTCTGCTTGAAAGTTTTCACACCCTTCCATTAAATATATACGAGCTAGAGCTCTTCACATCATCAAGAAGTGTTTGATTGATTAGTTGCCTTTAGAGGAAAAGCAGAAACAATGCAGTGAAATGCTAAATCTGGTAGATAACAAACTTATTGATCAAACTGACTCTGAAGGGCATGTATAGACAGTAGAGGAGGGGTCAGATCAATTAGGAATTTATAAACAAGACGCTAGATAAGAAATTACCTAGAATTTTTTTTATTTATTTTATTTTTTTTTTATGTCCAGGACCTTTCAAGTTTGTTAATATAAAGACTTTATCCCGTAACTCCAAATGTGTTCCTGATGTCTCGACATCATTAGTGTTATATTTGTTTTCTGGAAAACTCTCACTTATGCAGATGCATGTCACTAACAGAAAATTGAAAAGCATAATATATCACAAACTATACACATTATTTTTTTGATTGAAATTATCAAAATGTAATATTCTATTAGAAAACACATTTCTAATATGTATTTTTTGGTTCAGGCTTTATAGGGTTAAATGATCAATAACAATATTTAGGTTCATATCAGTTCCATTTAAGTTATTTCTTGAATCTACAGGATTGACAATATATGAGGTTCAAGTTCGGGTGATAAAATTGAAAACGTTTAAAAAAAAAAAAAAAAAGGAGAAAAGAATCAAATATATTATTTTTTTATTTAATATGAAGGCATTATTTTTTGAACATATAGCCAGGTTAAAAGTTTGCATTTACTTAGCTTACAGTAATCTTTTTTTTTATCATAAAGATAGTTTCTCAAAAAACTTTGAACTGCAATATTTATTTACAGTGAACTTTATTTCACAATTAAGTGGTGCTCTAAACCTTGTGTAACCTTTTTCTATATGTTCTTAGGGATAACCTGGGACCCCTCAAAGTTAATGAAGTGCTCAATAGTTTTGACAACACCGGCAATGTCTGTAAGTAAATATTTTATTTCAAACCTATTAAGTCGGCATGTTTGTTCTGTGGGTTTCATTTGTGCAGAGCAGAAATGTGCAAACACATCCCTGGTGGATCTTATTTACGCTTCATTCCTTTCACTTTTGTTGTTTTTAACAAACTTTACTGCTGCTTAATCTGACAGAATTATCTATGGTCTTGGTAAAAAGTAAGTGCACCCTCAGTTATTTCCAGGGATTTCCCTGTTGAAACACACCAAATATTCTGCCATGTCTTACTCATCAAACAAAGATCATAATTAAAGGGGGAAAACCATTCAGAATATAAAAAACATTAACATTTTATATCTGTGGGATTAGTTTGGAGTCTTTCAGAAGTAATATCTACCATCTGCCCCAATCTTTTTGTATCGGATGAATACAAAAAGTTTGTTTAAACACTAACATGTACTAGTAGTGACCCTTTATTTTTAATTCATTTGCATAATATTTGAATTATCTGAGGATAAAGTAATCCATGTGAAGTACAGTGGAGTATCTGTGATGCTTTGGGTCCTGGAAGTACCGTAAAAACGATTCCCGGAGTGCGCTACATTAAAGAGCAAAACATTCATGACGAAATGTTTGATCATATATATTCCTTTGCTATTGTTTTTGTCTTATTGTCATAAATTTTTATTTTTATTTTCTTTGAATATACCTTGCAGATTGGAAGTTATTATTTTTTTTAGTTCTATATAATGTATTTGCTTTTATTTCAATTCTTTTTTTTTTTAGCATCTCACTTTACAGAATGTACATCAACTGTTAAAGTCCCTGCAACAGACTCAATATTTTTCTGACAGTTCTTGGTGATTAAAATGTAATGTGCAGCTCTGTAATCAATACACATTTTAGAAATGCGCTAGCAAGTTTTGTTAAGCTCTGAGGTCATGGTTACCTGATCCGCTCCCTCACTCATTTTCTATAGTGTCTGGTTTAAAGTTAGCCTTTCTTTTGAAAGGTTAGAATTTATACGGAAAAGTAAAAAAACGGAAGCTTATTGTTTTTACTTTGTGCGCCACCTTAGTGCCCTTTACTCCATCCATGCTGCTTTATGTTGCTCTCTACTTCCAATATATGCAGAGTAATAGTTGCTAAAACGACTTTCTCAGTTTCAGACAAAACATCTCGATGACTGCACCCCTCCTGACACACACACACATTCCTGTTTCTCAATTTACAATCCCTCCCCATAGCTTCCCTCATTGTTCCCTCCATCCCTCTCAGCTGGAGTCATGCTTGGCCAGATGGGTAACAGAGTTCCTGACTTGGCCAATGGATTAGCACAGCCGGAGATGAGAGCATAGAGGAAGGGAGAGGAGAATAGGGGGAGAAGGTGGGTGGGCATGCCATAGGTGGAACATGTGTGTGTGTGTGTGTGTAAGGAGTGTAAAGCCTTTAGTAGTGGGACCTTGCTCGTCAAACAATGGGGCAACCATCTCCCTCCTGTTCTCCATCTCATGTTTGGGACTAGTAATGCGTGAGATCAATTAGGGTTGGTTGAGAGGAGGCTCTGAAAGGCCCCAGAGGTGACCCAGTCGGAGCTCTGGGGTATATATTTTTTTCAGGGGTGGGGGTTGTGGGGAAACCCTCCTAAATTCAAAAGCACACACATTGACTTGCATTTGTCCTGACACAGATATACAAGGAGGTGCAGCACCTGCAATAATCTACTGCTTCCATGCTAATAAACACATATCCACATCGCCCACCCTTATACTCTCTCCACCTTTCCTGCTGTTTTGATAATCCCCCTACCCCTGAGGTGTGGACAAGCCCAAATCCTTGGGGTCCTTGTCCTCCTGAATAGCAGGCTAAAAAGCCTGTCCAGATTAACCCACCGCATCCAAAATGTGTGGATTCAGCTTAAAAGTGCTACCCCCTCTCAGCACGACCCCACCACCCCTCTTTCGCCACTATTGTCTTTCTTATTCAAGTGTGCACGTACGTGAACAATATGTTGTTTCTTAAAGTAAAGATAAGCCGGAGTCAATGGTTTCAATACCAGAGCAGAGTAGCGGGCGAGGCAGCTCTATTAGGGTTTTAGGAAATGGGGGAATTGATCTTGGGGGTCGACATCATCCTCCAGAACTATTCAAAACAACAGCACTATTTAAGTATCCGACATAATACAAGTGTTCAGTTTTGCTATCATCATATAATGAATAAATCCGTTTGCAGCGAAAAATTTGGTAACACACTTTTATTAAATGAATGAAGCCCCAGAGTTAGTATTGGTTTTAATTGTGTCTCATATTTGTTGTTGGAAATTAGATGTGTGCCATAGGCAGGTCAAAGGGAAACATCACCTGTGCTTCTGTCCGCCATAGACCCCCCCTCCCCATATAGGTTATTGGACTGGAGTTACATTTGTAGCTCATTATGTCTTCCTCATAAACGATTACAACCTCCCCCAAAACAGGACTTCAACTTTTTGAACTCTGAACCCCTGACCTTCCCGGTTCTTTAGCTGACGGAGGGGGCTTGTAATCGCTGGAGGCTTTGTACGGGCGTCGTTTGGGATGCTTGTTCCCTGCTAAGGGTCAGGATTTGAGGGTACCCCTTGAGGGTGGAGTGACTAAGAATGCGAGGCAGGATGTGTTGCTGGGCGAGTGAGAGGCTTTAGAGCTTGTTGACATTGCTGTTTTTTTTTTTTTTTTTAAAGAGGGCTTTACAGGCTGTAAGGCTATTTGTCAGGTTTGTGTTTCACTTAAAAGTAACATTTTCTCCCATTATGGTTTTAACAATATGCAAGTTTTGTGTCCTGGATGAATGTTTGCACTTTATCACAGTTATTGTACATTATGGTTTTATGCAACAAGTTAGTCGTCATTTTAGTCTTTCCATTAGATGAAAAATTCTCTTTATATCAAGTTATTTAGACTTGTAACTAGAACGTGCAGATATTTTTATATCTAAGGGAAACATATTCAAGGATATTACAACGTATTTCTTTTTTATGCTTTTTTGGTACTATATACACTCTTTTTATATTGTCTGTCTTTTTTTATCTTTAATTGCATCTTGCTTTAACTCTTTGTACTCTATATAAGCTACTGGAATCAGAATTTCCCTGCAGGAGTAATCCCAAGGGATAAATAAAGTTGAGTCTAAGTCTAACATGTGATATTCTTTATGTGAAGTGTGTTTAATACTTTATTTTAAATCTGTATATTAAAATAAATGTAATAAATGTAATAAAAAAGTTTTGTATTGCTCTTGCTTTAGTAGGAATATTTCTGTTTCTATTTAGATCAGGTGTTTTTGTTCATTTATGTTAATAACCCATTGCATTTTTAATTTTTAATAATGAGAATCTGTAAGATCACCTGAAAAAAGTGATAATAAATTATCTTTCTGCTTGTTATGGGACTTAGAAAAGAATAAATTCTTTCCAATTCCTAACTGACCTATGATAAAAAACTTTAGTCTTATATAATCACGTCTAATGAAGAAAAAAAGTTATGCAGTTATATTTAACTCTTAGTTTCCTTTTGGGGTTAAATTTCTTTACTTTCATTATTATGTCTGAAGAAAACAGTGTAACACATTGTGTTTTAATGACTATGGATAAATTTACATGTTTAAAATAATTAAAAACTATATTGCTTTTGAAATGTTGTCATGGTAAACCTGTTATATAATCCATAGACCCCCTTGATAAATACGTGCACTTTGAAATAATTTTCCTTTTTCTCTTTAAGAAAATGTGGATGAAATATTGATTACTTTTCAGTGAAGTTTAGGGTTCGGCATTGGCAGGTACTAAGATGACAAACATCTGCTTGAAGCGATGAAAGCTTAGCTGCGTTTGTGTAATCAGGAGCCCAGCATCCTAATGAAACCTAATAGAGCCTTCTTCACTACAGTTGTCATCGTGAGAATGGCTACCAGCCTTTCACCCTCTCAGTCATGTCTATTATCTCCCACTGACTTCACCTATCTCTCCTGCTGGTAAATGCTATAAGCCCTGACTGCCTCAGTGTTGTGAGGCAGCGTGGTGGGAAGCTGATCATTTCTGTTTGTGGCGATATAAGGACGGTTTCTGCCAGGTGGCTTTATTTATAAAGAAGTGGAAACAGTACCAGCATATTAACTCCATTCCTTGTCTTTATTTTTGTTCTTGTGTAGTTTTATTTTAAAGCAATATATAACTATTTTCTACATGCTGTTGTGTGTTTCTAGCAGATCTGTGTGTGTTTATATGCACGTTTAAACGTGTGTATATGTGTGTTGTAATAGGTGCCCCCCGTAGCCTTCCCTTGTGCCAGGCCTTTAGCGCAGCCCTGTTTGCATAATTATGCTAATTCATTTTGCCATAGTGCTAATTAGACCTTGTTAGACAATAGCGCTAGACTGGAAGCTGGCAGGCACTCACACACATATGCAGCCACAAGCTCGCTCTGACTGTTGTGTCAATGACAAGATTTGTGCTCCCCCTCTGTGCTGTTTATAACATGCTTTCTATAGAAATCACTCTCCGCTGGTGCCTTCTAGACTGAGCTCAGGTGTCTCTTACAATTTTGATTTAAACTAGTGGAGAAAAATCAATGTGAGAATTTCACACATGCTTTTTAAACTACTCCCATTGTCTGTTTCAGGGACTTTTCGTTTCGTTTTTTTCACTCAGAGCTGATGATTTATTGTTTTTCTCTCACCAAGTCAGTATGTTTTTCTAAACTCTGCTTGTGTTCTCATTCCAAATGTAATATAGCTGTAATTTTCAGAACAGTTTTACCTTATTTTCATCACATGATACTAATTTGACTCATTCAGAAAGCTTAATTCCTTCCCTTTTTCCTTCTCAAAATGCCTCTTTTCCAAATATCTGGCTCCTCAGGTGTTCTAGCATTTACTAAGAAACTAAAACAGAACCCCATATTAGAGATTTAAATATATATTTGGGTCATGTGATGCCTCCATAAATAATATCAGGTACATAAGATGAGACTTTAACAGTATTTACTATTTATTGA